GGATTGAATGTTAAGGCGGGTCGCAGTCGGCATATTAGTTTGAGATTGAGAATTTCCAATACGAAGGCTGGGAGAGATGTGGGTGTGTTGCATTGGAAATGGACGTCCTTAGTCGGCCATTGCGAAATATGGTAATACAGTTCAGATGTAACATGCACTATTCTAAAAAATGTGATATATGAATACTGCTTACATAATCGGGCTATTAATACACGAATTCATTTACTAATTTTTCTGTAGTATTACGTGATTAGAGTTTGGGTCCCGGGACGTCTCGTGTCTCGAAGTCCCGGGACTTTTCGTAATTTTTCGGACTTTTGAGTCGAGACTCGAGACGAGACAAGATTGTCGAAATTGTTATATAATCATTTTTATTTTCAAATAATTGAAAGAGCCTAGCACCATTTGTTAGTTTAATGAATAATTACTTGGTCTACTACGTAACTACTGAGTACGCAACTCAATAAAATAAACAAATATGTGATTATGAGAATTTAAAATGAGATTATGAACAATGATTAGATACTATAGTTACTAGATAATAGTAAAGTTATTAAGAATTAGTATAATTTTTAACTAAGTTCTTTTAATAACTATAAGATTTAACTGTTTAGAAGTGCATCTGCGTGTGACTAAAAGAAATGAACAAAGCAATTATTAAGACCGAAATTAACGTTAAAGTTATTTAATTTTCTGTTTAATTGTTTAGTAAATGTTGATTTTTACAAAAAAATTGTCTCTTTTTAATACGTTTCACCAGAAATTCATCATCATCATCATCATTACAACCCTTCACAAGTCTACTGCTGAATATATGCCTCCCCCAAGGAATGCCACAAAGCACGATCCTGAGCCACCTGCATCCATCGACTTCCTGCACGTCTTACCAGGTCGTCACTCCATCTAGTCCCCACTCGTACCGGTAGGCGAAGTGTAGGGCGACCCCCTGTCACCCTACACTTCGCCTACCGGTACGAGGCTGCTGCTCGAGAACCTTTCTTCCCCATCGGTTGTTGGTTCTTCGAGCTATATGGCCGGCCCACTGCCACTTCAGCTTATTAATCCGTTAGGCTATGTCGGTTACTCAGGTTTTACTGCGGATATTCACATTTCTAAGTTTATCACGCATAGAAACTCCGAGCATAGCCCTCTCCATAGCTCGCTGAGCGACCTTGAGCTTCCTCATATGGCCAGCAGAAAGTAACTCAATTAAAATTCTTCAAAAAAGGCAGTCTTAAAAGGCCATCTTAAAAGAAAACATAAAATTTTTTTCTTAAAAGTCTCGAAGTCCCGGATATTCCCGGGAATTTGATTATAGGCTGTCCCGTGTCCCAGGATTTTGAAATTGTCGGGAATTTCCAAACCATATACGTGATATAATATTTGAACACACTTAAAGTTTAGATAATACTAAAGGCAATCTGTACATCGGAATCGTATTTCGTATGTGTCCTTATCAATTTTTAATCAATGCGTATTAGGACACTGTACGAAAGGAACATATAAGATCTAAGAGTAGATGCTGGGTATAAGCGAAGGAATGTTCTTATATGAAAAACACATGTTATCTTTACGATACTTGAGTGGCGGTCACTGGCGGTGTTTCATCCAAGTGTCTTGGGTAGCACGTATAGCCGTTGGTCCCGCAACTCTTCTCTCTCTGGTCGTGTTGGATTGCCGCCACATCGGATTATGAGAGTGAAAAACTACAGAGTGCACCTGTGTTTTTGCACACACTCGTGTACTATAATCCAGTCCTGCGCAGATGGCTAGTCTCCGTTTAAACTGGCCGCTATGACCAAAATAATTCTAGAGGACATTATATCTTTCTAACATGCCAAACCACCCACCCCGATAAACTACATTTTAAGGCATAACTCAGAACTCTGTAATAAGAGCGGGTGTTTGTCATACACACCCTGTGTTACGCTATTGAATGAGTTTCTGTGTAGAAACTCATCAGTAAGTGTTACTGAAATGTCTATACTCGTAGTTTGAAATACGATAGACATTAAAGAAGAAAAGGAAAGTTGCTCAAAAGCAGTTCTTTTCTATCATCTGGTAACGGTATTCCTATGAAATTTATTTATTTGAATATTTATCTATATATCTATTAATGCAGCTTGTATGTAATATTTAGTTTATTATATACTATCACTGAACTCATCTGCTGAATATAGGTCTCCTCTAGAAATTATTTTTCGTTTAAATAAATTTTTCTTAAAAGAAAAAGGATTTTTTCCTGTATTATCAAGGCAGTTTAAATACATAACTTTTACCCTTGCACTGTTTGTGCTACATAGTATAAATAAATAAATAAATAAAGTTAAAAAAAAGTTCTTAAGTACTCAAAAGTAGATACAATCAATTATCGTGTAACCTAAAATTAGAAGTCATTACTTGAATAAACAATACTTTTTAGGTCATTCATTCATTAGGAAAGGCTAATTATAACACTGTAGTAGTGTCTGAATAGTAAATAGCAACAAAGGCAAGCGAGGCGAAGTAATTAGTTCGAAACTTATATTAAACTCTGGTACCTAAAACATTTGTCTAATAGATTGTCTGATGAGGTTCAACAAGTTTCATGTATCTGTAACTTTTTTTATATAGAATAAGAGCGACAAACGAGCACACAGTCCACCTGATACACCTATCCTCGATTAAGAATCAAAATGCAGATGCGTTGTCACCCCTGAGAACTAAGATGGAATGCCTCGTTTCCAGTATAAGGGTTTAGGGTTGCCTACAATCAATATACAGTACAGTATATACGTATATGTTTGTCTCTTTTTAGTGCCGCTTTTTCGTTTCATCGAGTTTCAAATCACAACGATTCTAAAGAAGTTTTCACATCTTCATCACCAAAAAATCTTATAACTTCTTTTTTGTCTTTTTGTCGTATAAATGTCATAGTATTTACGAAATAATAGTTTTTCATAGAAATAAAATCTGAGCATCTCCTTCCGATTTAATTATAAAATAAGAAAATATTACAAATATATTAAATTTCTTTTTTGGGTGGAGCATTACAATCATCGGAAACAATATTTTTGATGTTTTTCCCTATTTATAGTAGACTAGCTGTACCCCGCGGCTTCGCCCGCGTGTAATTTGGTTTTAATTTTTTTGCGCGGAACCCTAAATATTTTTCTCAAATAAAAGTAGCTTGAGTTACTCCTTATAATGTTAGCTATCTGCCAGTGAAAGTCCTATCAAAATCGGTCCAGCCACTTCGGAGATTAACCGGAACAAACAGACAGACAGACAGATAAAAATTTTAAAAATTATGTTTTTGTTGTAAGCACTGTATATACTTTCATACGCGTTTAGTAAAAAGCTGTTATTTTGACATTACAAACAGACACTTGAATTTTATTTATTTGTATAGATTATATTCAAGGGAGATTAAAAGCAGGGCTCGGATAACGGTATATTTTTCGAAACGTTTTCGCCTTAAATACCTAAAAACTTATTTGTTTCGTTTATGTTCGAACGGAATCATAATAAAAAAATTTATGAAAATAACAAAATTTTAAATCGTTCTTGTTCAATAAAACGTTTTCAACCATTTTAAACCGTTTTTTCCCATTTTTGGCTCTGAAATACGAAACAAACATACCTTATAGGTTTAAACTTGTCGTGGCACGTGCCATTCATTTAGCTTCCTGCGCAATAAACCGTTTTTTTACGTTTTTACGTAACGTTCTCATTTCGTTTTTGTTCCGAACGAAATGTTATACAGGGAACCGTCTCAAACGTTTTAAAAACGTTATTTTTAATAACGTTTCCGAGCCCTGATTAGAAGTAACTGGTATTACACATAAGGGTCTAATCTTAAAAATGTATGTTCGTGGCTATATGAAAATCTGCCTAGGAGTTTATCTAGATAGGTACCACCCCCTTGCTTATTTCTCTGTGTACGTATAGTAACCGTTACTTCTGTGTACGATTATTTTTAAGTGAAAACTTCTTTATACTCGTTGTGTTTTAATACTCGATGAAACGAAAAAGCGACACTGGGAACGAAAAGGGACAAGCATATACATCTATAGGATTTAGCCTGCGAGAAAATGAGATAGAATACAGTATATAGTGTTGCCTATTATCTCGATACCCTTTCAAGGTTACTCACGCGTGTAAACTGCACACGTGTAAGTACTTTTTTTTAAATACGTTTCAGTAATAAAAAAAATTGTGAATTAAGCATAATATACTACAATAATATAATATCATATTAACAAAACCTTGTCGAAAAATGTCTTACTGCACGCGTAGTTAGTAAGCGTGTGAATCCGGTTAGTGGCTTAGTACGTATAGTTTACATTAGGGAAGTGTGTAATGCCCCTATCGGAGACCGGGACTATGGTCTGGCCTGAAAAATGAGCTTTATGTCGTGTGATGTACAGGTGCTTTCTTCACTCATCGTGCACTTCAGAATCCCTTTTTATGTGCTAGAGTAACGTTGTAACGTAGGTATAGTGGCTGCGGTAGAAATGGGTCAGCTCGAATGGGGAAGGACGACCCTCGCACGTAATAGCACCATAATGAAACCATTTTAACTGGTAAGGACGCATACCATCTTAATCCTCAGGGCTGGCAACGCATCTTCATTTTAATTTTTAATCGAGGATTGATCTAGTTAGTGGTCCATGGGCCGAAGGATCCACGTACCATCAGGTTGACTTTGTGTTCATTTATCCTTTTACTTCTATAAATAAAACGTATATGTATATGAAGCTAACGGTTCGATTGCAACTCGTTGCCTCCTTGTAGTCAATGATTTACTCGCATTCAGTAAGTGTCGCATTGTTCGTACACCTTGGATGCGTTGTCCGCTCGTAGACGGTGTTTAACTAACGCCAAGCTGAGCTCGTTGATCCCAAACCAAAAGTTACACTGGTCTGGTTGTGTGATGATACTGATGTACGGCGGCATGTTGTATTACATAACTAATCTTCGATCAACGATACTAATTATAATAATTTTATTTAACTGACCATTACAGCGTTCATCTTGAAGTCCATATGATTCTTGACCTCAGCAGCGAGCTCACGCACCAGGAGCAGCCCGTCCTTACGCACCACCTCTACGTTGTACTCGCGGTATTTCTGTAGACGGAAATAAAGATGTTAGTTATTTTGCGAGACATAGTCTGTTTCGAGTATTTGTGTAGCGTGGCAGACGGATAAACGACAGTTACAGAAGCCTCACATCTAAGTCCTCGCTCTGGTCTTAGATCTAACATGTTTGTTATGTTTGTTATGCTATACCAGAATTATTTGTAATGTACGTAAGGGTAATATGGTCATCTGGTTAATATGGATGTTATAACTCAAAAACTACAGTCTTATTTGTATAGATGAATCTGTGATACGATAACTCTTCATCGGGCAATCAAATAATAAAGGGTCAAAAGAGCGTTGCTTTATCGACGCCATTTTGACAGTTGACATTATAGTAAATACTATATAGATGTTCTAGATTCTTTTTTATTTGAACGCTGGTGCTTCTCATGTGGCCCCATACAAATCTGGTCTGACTAAAAGTTTTTGAGTTATTCTTAATAATTTATATTGGAGTCGGTTGTACAAAATTTTTAATTTTAAATTATTTATGTTAATTTTTCGAAGTGTTTCTAATTATTGCCAAAGCTTGTTTGCTTTCTACCGACTTCAAAAAGGAGGAGCTGCTCAATTCGACTGTATGTTCTTTTACGTGTGTATTCTTTTTTATTTGAAAGCTGATGCTTCCCATGTGGTCCCATATAAATTATATATATACTATATTTATGGTTTTGAGTTATTCTTAATAATTTATATTGAAGTCGGATGTACAATTTTCTTTATTTTATATTATTATTCTGTTCTTCATATATAAGTTATTGTATACGACTTTGTGTTTTTGTCTCTGTCCTCCTCTTAATTTGGCTTTATAGGGCGGCAAAGCTTAAGGTGATTATTCTCACGTACCTTAGTTGTGTCGAATTGGTGTGAAAAGTGAACCAACTCTGTTTTTGAGGACGCTATTGCTTTTTTTTCATAGTGGTCATAAAAATTAATATGATAGATTCTACCACCATAAAGTATATCATATCTTAAAAAATAATTATAATAATTATTTTAATGGTAAGTAGCTATTCACCACTTGCCGAGAGTCCGGGTGTATTTTTTATCTAATTAGAAAATAAGATACGCTTACAAAATAAGTAGCTCTTTGTATTTACTTACATAATCAAATCACGACACGTACACAAGCGTTAACTGATCTTATTTGTTAGATAAGTAATAAAAGACAATTTAGTCATTAAAAATTACTTTAATAGTAACTAGGATATTTTATGCTATTGATATTTAAAAAAGTACTTTTCGCTATTTATGACTTCAAATAATTAATGCTTGTCGGTGTGTTGTCTTAGTCAACTTTACTTGCACACAATGCTTATTGCTGGACGTATCGTGTCGCATATCGCAATCAACCGATTGGTCGCAAATAAAATATCCAACCGAAATCGCAAATGGTGCTGGTGATATAGAATAGCATTACAGTACGCAGGTTGAAATATGTCATAAGTTGGTAAATATTTGTCTATATAGTTAATGCCTTGTAGTGGTGGTTAAGAATATCTACTAACCCATATCTTCCCGTGGGTGTCGTAAAAGGCGACAAAGGGAACAGGCAGGAGATGGGTAGCAGCATCTTCCTGATAACAGCAAAAGTACAATAAAAAAAAACTGCGGTTGCCAACCCGCTCGTCAAGCGTGGCAACTATGGCAAATACTCCCCAATGAAGAGAGCAACAAAGATACGGCCCCCAGTCCCCGGCGGCCCCGCTATTCCTGGCTACGGTGGCGACCATAGTAACGGCGGGGCAGGGGGTGCTAAGAATCTCCGGTGGAGGTTCGCTTGCCACCTAAGACGTCTCGACCTGGGAACATACAACGCACGCACCCTGAGGACTGACGAGAAGATCGTGAAGCTGGAAGAAGAGATAGACAAGTTACGCTGGCATATTATAGGACTATCCGAGGTCCGAAGAGAGGAGGAGGACACGGTAATCCTCGAATCCGGCAACTTGTTCTATCACCGGGAGGGCGACCATCTGTCCCAAGGAGGTGTCGGATTTATCGTCCACAAGTCTCTCGTTAACAACGTTGTAAAGATTGAGGGTGTGTCGACGAGGGTTGCGTACCTTATACTCAGAATTACCAAACGGTAGTTGCTGAAGGTCATACAGGTTTACGCACCAACCTCGGCACACCCCGATCAGGAGGTGGAGGAAATGTATGAGGATATCTCTAGAGCCATGCATTCCTCCAAAACGCACTATACAATGTTAATGAGAGACTTTAATGCAAAACTAGGTACAAGAGAGAGCGGTGAGCTGAAAGTACGGAAATTTGGAATAGGGCAACGGAACCCAAGGGGCCAGCCGCTGGCCGACTTTATGGAGAAAGAGGGACTCTTTACGAGTATAATGAACTCTTTCTTCCAGAAGCGGCCTTACAGGAAGTGGACCTGGTCGAGCCCCGACGGTTCGACAAAAAATGAGATTGACTTCATTATGATGACCAGACGACAACTGTTCAGTGATGTCTCCGTGATCGCGAGGGTGAAAACTGGTAGCGATCACCGAATGGTTAGACACTGAACCTAAACGTTACGTTGGAGAGGTCTCGTTTAATGAAGTCAACGCTCCGTCCACCTCGTGCTCTGTTCCAAAGTCCCGAAACCTTTCAGATCGAGTTACAAAACCATTTTCAGTGCCTAGAAGACTGCAATGAAGTGGATGATATAAATGACAAGCTCGTGGAAACTGTCCATGCGGTTGGAGCTAAGTTCTGCAAGAACCGCCGCAGAAGAACACAAAAACTCTCCGATCACACCCTTAATCTCATGGCTGTTAGACGGGAGATGAAGCTACACTCTTCAACAGATTTGACAGCATACAGGTGACTGAACAGACAGATCTCCAAATGCATGCGACGGGACTTACGCAACTTCAATACCGCTTGTATTGAAGAAGCGATCGAGCGGAACCAAGGCTCCAAAGTCTTTGCCAGAGATCTGTCTGCCAGAAAGAGCCAACTGTCAAAGCTGAAGACCGAGTGTGGCAGCATCGTTTCCGGGACACCTGATATTTAGAGTGTGATTGAGAGGTTCTATGGGCAGCTGTACACGTCATCGTTGGAGCCACACGCAAGTGTGAGTAACGATCCAAGAGCGAGTCTTATCCGACACTATTCCGAAGATATTCCGGACGCCAGTCTGAGCGAGATTAGAATGGCTCTCCAGCACCTTAAAAACGGCAAGGCCCTAGGCGAGGATGGAATTACAGCGGAGCTTATGAAAGCGGGTGGAAAACCAGTACTTGAAGTCCTTCAGAAGCTCTTTAATTCCGTTCTCCATGGTGACATTACACCGGAGGCGTGGAGCAGAAGTGCGGTGGTCTTGTTCTTCAAGAAAGTTGACAACGCTCTCTTGAAGAACTACAGACAGATTTCCCTTCTGAGCCGCGCCTACGTGCTGTTTTCGAGAGTCATTACGAATCGTCTCGGGCGCAGACTTGACGACTTCCAGCCTCCCGAACAAGCCGGCTTCCGAAAGGGCTTTAGCACCATAGACCACATACATACCCTTCGGCAAATTGTACAGAAGTCCGAAGAGTACAATTTGCCACTATGTCTGGTGTATGTGGACTATGAGAAAGCCTTTGATTCCGTCGAAATTTGGGTGGTGCTGTAGTCCCTTCAGCGGTGCCAAGTTGACTGTCGGTATATCGAAGTGCTGAAGTGTTTGTGCAGTAGAGCTACGATGGCTATCCGAGTACAGAATCAGAGTACGAAACCTATCCAACTGCAGAGAGGTGTAAGACAGGGTGACGTTATATCCCCGAAACTCTTCACCGCTGCATTGGAAGTCGTTTTCAAGCTACTGCATTGGAAAGGATGCGGTATGAACATCAATGGCGAGTACATTACTCACCTTCGATTTGCCGACGATATAGTCCTTATGGCAGAATCGCTGGAGAACCTAAGCATTATGCTCAATGACCTCAATAGTGTCTCCCAACGGATAGGTCTTAAGATGAACACGGACAAAACAAAAATCATGTTTAACGTCCATATCACACCTATGCCGATAGTTGTTGGGAGCACTAAGCTCGAAGTTGTTGACGAGTATCTTTACCTGGGACAAATAGTCCGACTAGGTAAGTCCAACTTCGACCTAGAGGTCAATCGACGGATTCAACTCGGCTGGGCAGCGTTCGGGAAACTAAGACACATCTTCTCGTTAGACATACCTCAAAACCTAAAAACGAAATTGTACAACCAGTGCGTGTTGCCAGTGATGACTTACGGATCTAAGACGTTATCCTTCACTGCTGGCCGTATGAGGAAGCTCAAGGTCGCTCAGCGAGCTATGGAGAGGGCTATGCTCTGCTCGGGGTGTCTCTGCGTGATAAACTTAGAAATGAGGATATCCGCAGTAGAATCAGAGTAACCGACATAGCCCAACGGATTAGTAAGCTGAAGTGGCAGTGGGCCGGCCATATAGCTCGAAGAACCAACAACCGATGGGGAAGAAAGGTTCTTGAGTGGCAGCCTCGTACCGGTAGGCGAAGTGTAGGGTGACCCCCCACTAGTTGGAGTGACGACCTGGTGAGACATGCAGGAAGTCGATGGATGCAGGTGGCTCAAGACCGTGCTTTGTGGCATTCCTTGGGGGAGGCCTATGTTCAGCAGTGGACTTGTGAAGGGCTGAAATGAGGAATGATGATAGTTAATAAAAAATATATAACAGTAGCGCCATTAAAATAACTTATTACCCGTTAACCATTCCAAGGAAGCTTAAAATTCTTGTGTTAGTCATGTTTTTGTGATACTAGTGCTCGCGATCTATTTATAAAGGAACTGTTGATGACGATGATGATTGTGGTGGTGATAGAGACTCGCCTAGCGTCCGAACGTTAGTTTTTCAGTACCGTGTAAACCTATACGCGAATCAGTGTACAAATGAGTTACCTCACCGTCGTCTGAGTAAGGGTGAGCGCGCCTCGGCTCTGATAGCTTAACACTTGTGTTAGGAAGTGGCTCACGACAGAAGTCGA